AGGAAGCTTATTTACAACGGAGTACTAAATAAACATCCATAATATAATATATTTATAACACTACCACTATTTTTACATATAATTAGTTATATTATATCTGGTCCATTTAGAATAGAAAAAGACTTGTTACTACTCCCAGACACAATCCTATGGTCCAATAAACTCTTGTCAAACAGCCGTGAAAGCACTTTCTTCTCACCTCATATCATTTGTTTCTATTGTCAACTAAAGCATATTATATTTATTAATTTATATGTATATGCACTCTTTTATTCTAAATATATTTAACATTGTTCACCAAAATTGCTGTGTTATATACATCATTTCAAAATTTAAAGATTGAAATTTACTTAATTAGTAATTAAATTCTTATTTAATTGATAAAACTCTAATTTACTGTTTTCGCAATCAATTTAAGTCTAATGTTTATAAAAATTTCTACTACTTGTACAAAGGCAAGTGAACATCTTGTGGCAGGTCAAAAATGTTACATTAAAAAGAAGTATTCTATTGCTAGTGCATATGCGACAGTTTTGATTTGACAATGAAGTTAATCTCTTTATACATAAGAGGGACTATGGCAGGCAAGCGGGAATGGCTGGGGTCCAGCCTCTGGCGTCATCAACACTATTGAAGATTGGGGTATTGGAGAATAAGGGGTCGTTTGGTAGGGTGCATAAGAATAGGTGTATTAGTAATCCTGATATTAGTTATGCTTGCATTAGTTATACTGGTATTAATTATGCTGACATATTTCTTATCCATTGTTTGGTTTGATGTATTAAAGTATTGCACAATTCTAAAAGAATTGTTTGTTTACAAAAAATGCCCTCAAAACTAGTCCACACTCTAATTTTTTAAAAGAAACATATGTTGAGAAATGTCTTTATATGAAAAAGTTTTAAAAAAATTATTTTGTTTGTCTACCTATATTGTAAAATAAAATTAAATATTTATTTATAAAAAAGGAAATATGAAAAAGTTTTAAAAAAATTATTTTGTTTGTCTACCTATATTATGCATAGGATAATACCAAATAGGATGTATAACTAATGCATATATTTAAAATATCTACCAAAACAATGTATTATTAATACACAAAGTCAATGCATTTATTAACTTATCTAGTGTATCCTACCAAACGACCCCTAACTGTGTTCTAAAAAGTCTATCATTTGATCGATTCAGGTATGTTTTTCTTTTTCTTTTCCATGACTCGGATATATCCAATGATAATATGTGTAGATTGTAGAGTGTTCAACAAAAACAAAAGGTTCAAATTCAACTGAAAATTCGAGTCAAACCAATTTAAATTACTTCGTCTAATTTAGTTTGGTAATGACCAAGAAAAAATCAAACCCAATTGACATATGGATATTTTTTTCCTTGAGTATATAAAATTTATATTTTTTTTTTCTTTAAGATTAAGTCTAGGCAGATTCGTTAACTTTGCTTAAGATGTAATCCATTATGTAACTAATCTCGGCAGATTCGTTATTTCAATCTCTGTCCTTTCGTTTTACTAATGAAAATTTATTAAGCTCATATATCTTGTTTGGTTTTAAGATGAAAATCAAACCAAACCATGACCAACCCAACAGAGGCGGATCTACGTTTTCTAGATCATGGGTGCCCAACTAAAGAAAAGGAATAAAAAAAAAGTATTTAGTGGGAATTGATCATTGTACCTTTGGCAAATAACTCAACATTCAACCAAGTGCATCATTTAGTATTTGTGGAGCATGAGTACCATCAGACGATATTAGACCAATTCTATAAAATATATACATAAAATATCTAATTTGACGACTATAAAATATATACATAAAATATCTAATTTGACGAAAAGACCGTGGGTTACCCTATAAATCCGCCCTGCACCCCAATAATATCTGTCGAAAAGAAAATAGTGAGGAAATTACTAGTTGAAATATTATTAGGAGAATTATTATACCGAGGGTGAATCGAACTCAATCCCTGCTACTACAGTAACAACAAAAATGCAAAATCAAACATAGGTGTACTTGAAAAAATGCTACTGTATTTTAGTATTGATAAACACATTTATCCGCTACTTATATCAGTGAAAAATAACATTTGACAGAAATAATTGAAGTGCATATAAATTGACTCAAACTTCATCATTAGAAGTAAGAAAATATGTAACAATATAATTAAGGTAGCTTATCGTCGTTTGGCCAAGATTCTAAAATTAACTTATTTTAAAAAATAATTTTCTTAAAAGTACTTTTCAAGCAGTATATGTTTAGTTAATTAATTTGAGCAGTACTTTCAACAACAATTGTTGTTTGACCAAGTTTTTAAAAAGTGTTTCTAAATATATTTTTCTCAAAAATACTTTTGGGAAGAAGCTATTTTTTCTGTTTCTCAAAAACTGTTTATAGCCTGTTTGGCCAAGCTACTTTTGGCCAAAAGTGCTTTTTTTGCCAAAAGCACTTTTGACCAAAATTTGAGGTGTTTGACCAAGCTTTTGGAAGAAAAAAAGTGTTTTTGAGGAGAAACAGAAAAAAGTAGCTTCTCTCTAAAAGTACTTTTTTGAAACACTTTTGAGAAACATACACTTAGAAGCAGTTTTTTAAAGCTTAGTCAAACACTAATTGCTGCTTAAAAGTGCTTTTCAAATTAATTAGCCAAACACAAACTGCTTCTCATGAGAAACACTTTTGAAAAAAAGCACTTCTCAAAATAAGCTGATTTTTACAGCTTGGCCAAACGGGCTATTATACTCAATCAAAAGCACTTTTTTCCCTTAAAAAACTTGACTAAACACCCTAACTCAGAAAAAAAGTACCTTTAGGCTTAAAACCCCATTTTTGGACCAGTATTGGCCAAAAAACTATTAATTGACTCGGATAACACTGTTAAGAGTAGTTCATTTTTGTTCACAGTTAGCAAAACACAAAATCACATATTACCCACTTGCACCAGACTCGAGCCATTGTAGGGCCAGTGTTGTCTTCCTCATCCTCACCCTCACCCTCTCCAAGTGGCCGCGGCCGTTCCCCACTTGGATCCACCCGGTCCAGAAGTCTTTTTACAATTCAGTACGTAGCAATCGTAGTGCGATCGGATGTTACAATAATCTAACAAATATCTTTTCCCTCATCCACTGTTCATGATATCAACCACTACACAAATAATTAAAAACAATAAAAGACTTGACTACAAGTAGTAACAATTTAACACCCCATTCCCCTTTTCTGTCGCCGCCACACACGCTCTCCTCACTCCTCAATCATCATTCATCATTTCACGCCTAATAAACAATTGGCTAAGTCTTTAACATGACCAATATGCATAATTCACCCTACCATTTGCTATCCATTTCCCCCCAACCCACCACCACCAAGGCCCCAAGCAAAGTACAATTTGAATTGCGAAAGACAAAATATTAACACAAATCACCTTTACATATTACAACATGAAAACTGTTTGAGCTCAAAAATTTCTTTAAAATAAGTAAAAATAAAAATAAAGAGGTGATTGTTTTGAGAATATAACAATCCTAGGCTACCAGCTAGGAATAAAGACAATCTGGAGCGGCGCTTGTATTCTTACCAATGTACCCCCTCTTCCTCCCCCCAAACAAAAAAAAATTACACTAGCATAGTTACTATACTATTATTATAAGTAATAATATTGTAACTAAATATTACCAGTCCTCACCAGTAATCCAGTTCTGGGTCTTCGGGCTCGGGCTTTTCGTTTAAATCGGGCTTCTCCTGAAACCAACATGGCTTCAATTCAGACGGGCTTGCAGTCTCACAGTGCACTTTTTCTTCTGGATGGTCGTGGTCGTGGCCGTGGCCGTGGCCGTGGTTGTGATGAGTAGCAAGTGAGTTCTGTATCGCGTCAACTTGAGCACCAACTTCTATGGCCTTTTTACGAATTGAAGCAGCAGATAAATCATTAAGCCCACCATCACCACCCAACAGCTCAGGAAAATTCAACCGGGCCGAAGGACCGCGTAAATAATACACCGCCGTATCATAAGCCCGCGCCGCCGCCACCGGCGTTGAATACGAGCCCAACCAAATTCTCGAACGCTTATTGGGCTCTCTAATTTCTGCAACCCACTTTCCCCACTTCCTCATCCTTATTCCTTTGTAAGGCCTTTCGTTTTTTCTCTTAGCGCCACAACACCCCCCTGAACTTGCAACTCCTCCACTTTGAATCCCATCACCCACCTCCATCTTCGTCTTTCCCTCTATATCTTCCTTCTCTTTCTCTCTGATTGTATAATTATGTGAAAATACAGGGGCTTAATTACAAAATTTTTATTTCCCTGTAATCTAGAGCTTGACTAGGAGGAATAACAGAGAGAGAAAGAATACCCATGAAAAAGGCAAAAGCTGGAAGTGAAGAAAGGTTATGGGGTGCGGTTGTGGCTACTCTACGTTGATTTTCTTAAAAGGAATTATTTTTTTCATTCTCCTAAAATAAATAAAAATGAAAAAGCAAATATCTTAAAAGCACCGACACAATCAATCTTCTTCTTCTCTCTCCACAATAATAATAAATACAAGTAGTAACTTGCTGGATGAGTATAAAAACAAGTTTTTTATTGGCCCCTTTCTTTATTCAAAAGCTTAGCTGCTCATACCTCATAAAAAATGGTGGTTGTTGGCCATCCGCCATTTTAATAGCTCCTCAAAATTCTCAGACCCTCCATCTGTAGCTATAAATTTAGCTGTAAATACCCCTTTTTTGAATCAAAATTGTAACTTTGTTTGTTTTTGTTTCTATTTCTGTGATGGGGGTGTCGGGTGGGGGTGGCATAGTATGTGAGCTAAGGGAAATTTAGGGACTCAATAATGGAAAAGCAGTTGTCATTTGGCTCAGTGGTGACGACAGAGAAAATGGATTTTTTTTTCTAAGCATATAAAATAGGAAGAAGGAAAGATGATGATTACAATAATTCAATGAGATTGTTAATATTATTATATTATATGGTTGGAATTAATAATTTTGTTGTTTATGTAATACTCCAGTAGGAATTTATGTGTTTGGGTAATTTAGGGAATTTAAAAACAGTGGTGGGAGAGTTAGGTCGGTGGTCGGTGGATGGAATAGATAATGTTGTGACTTGGACTTCCAAAAATGCCCCCGCCAAGCAATAACGATTTTTGTGAAGTGACTATCTTGCCCTTATCCACATTATTTGGTGCCTAATTGGTGTGGTCGGAGATTCCTATGCTTCAAAACTTAATCATGGGTGTACTACCACTCTGTCTCCCATTTGGTTCGAGGAAAAAGAATTGGTACATATTGTACTTTGTCTTCAAATTTCTATCCATATGGTCTTAAACTTTGCCCCATATACACCTGGGATCGTTTCATAGATCGTATTAGTATAATTAATCACAATATAAATTGTCATATAAAATAATACAATATTTGATTAATAGTGTAAAAAAAATAGTTTTTACGTAACAAATGCATGCCGTTTTTGGTCGATCGTATAAAATAATTGTTTACCCTAAAATTCGAGTAACAATTAAACTTATATTGTGGTTTTAGGATATGTGATTTAATTCAATATCAATCGATAGATAAGGAATTAAACAGATAAATTAAGCGATAGGATAGATCAAACCAGTATGCGAGTGGAGTCTCGACCTCGATTCAAGATGATCTCGAGATAGAGCAATAACAATAGTAAAGAAATGAAACAACAATGATGAACAGTAACGAATGGTAAATGAGATACAAATGAATAGGATTCCTCCTTATATAATAGAGGAGTTCTAAACAAGGTACGCTTCTAATTATAGTAGGAAATCATATTGACAACTGATTAACCGCCGAAGATCAATCCATTTCGAAATTCATGCCATGATCTTCGATCCGTCACGGATATCTCGCTCTTTCTGTTACTGAACTATACCGACATCATTTCGACGTATGCCCTTTCCTGACTTCGATTAGTGATGTCGACCTTAATCTCGGAAAGCAACTTCGATCACGAACTCGATGTTCTGGCTTTTCGACATGGTATCTCTTTTTTAATCGAAGAATGAAATCGGGCCGTATACAGATAGTCCCCTCGTTTCTTAGAGTAAAATGATAAGAACCGACTTGAGCATCGATTTTCTGGAGACCCCGATAGTGGCATCATCCCCGTGGCATAAGCGGTCAAGGCAACCGAAACGTCCCGTCGGAGTTTCCCAAACCATTAATGCTTGCCAGAGGATGGTCGACCACTAGCACCACCGAACTTCAGGCCTTTTGGTTGAATCAAATTTTGCTTTCACCTCTCATCAAGTTTTCTAAGTTCCTTACTCTCTCCATCTCTTCTCTTTCACCACCCATTGAGTTAATTTAATTAGTACCAAAAATACCAATTTTCATCTTTTTTCGCTTCCTTCTACCTGAATCAATGGCGAAAACCTCCAAGACCGTCCCACAAAGGAGAAAGCTTCTTCCTCTTCTTCACGGCCGGTCGGTGATAAAATGCCGGTGGAACCGCTCCCTCACGAGTATATTCCCGGCCCTTGTGTCTTGAAAACCGACTTCAAAGTCAAGAACCCTCCATTGGTCCCTGGCCGATGCGAACATGTGTCGAGATATATCTGCTCGATAATGGCGAGCAGTCTCGAGGCTGTGAAGAGAGACTGTAACTGGGGGGCCGAGGTCGTGGTACAGATACCCGCCCCTGAAGAGAGTATTACCACCCATGTGGAGGGGTTTGTAAGTGTCTACACTTATCCCTTCACATTGGGTCCTCTTGACCCGGTTATCATTGATTTTTGCAAGAGGTATCAGGTCACCCTCGGCCAGGTTCACCCCTCATTCTGGCGTATAGTGATCATGCTCCTCTACTTTTCCAGCAAGGCCGAGGGACTGGAGTTCACCCTCAACCACCTCATACGGTTATATCGACCTCGACTTTTTCAATGGTTGATCAAGCTCCAACGCCGAGCAATGAAGGCCTTTTTGCGAGCATCGATGAGGACAAGGACCGGGGTTGGATGAACCGGTTTGTGAGGGTAAGGACCTGCGACCTCATCCTAAAGGAGAAACTGTCATTCCCCGAGAAATGGAACCCTGATCGTAAGTAACGTATTACCCATTAGTCTTCGTACTCCATTTTTTTGCTTTATGTAATGCTTTTAACTGTTATGCAGCGGTTGCTTGGATGCTCGGAGCAATCCCGAACCTCGAAGGTTGGGTCCGGAAGCTGGCTTTGACTTCTACACATGTTGAGCGCTCGTGGCGCGATCTAGCGAGGGGCCGATGGGAGGCCAAGAATCACGGTAAGCTTATCCCGTACGCTTTCGATGCTTTTTCCTCAAGAGTTTCCTTTTATTTATACTTGAATCCCTTTTATACAGGTCTCGGGGATGTTGCTGAAATGAGGCCGACCCCGCCTGGGGAAGAGGTAGCTCCCAAACCGGCTAAGGACAAGAAAAGGAGAAGGGCCTCGCCTTCTGATATCCCGAAGCCTAAGAAGAGTAAGGCTCGCAAGCCGAAAGATGACTCTGCTGCTCTATCTGTCGATGTAGCCCAAAAGTTATGAGATGAAGAAGAGGAGGGGGAGGACGCTGGTTGTGAGCTGGTGCCTCGAAAGAGGGGAAGTGTCGAAGCTTCAAAAGCAGTTGGGCCGGTGATGGTCGAGGAGACTCACCCTCGGACCGAGGAGATCTCGGAAGGGGCTCCGAGCAAAGTCCCCAAATCATTGGGGGCTGAAGATATTTCCTACCGTGATAAACAACCGGCGAGTGTGCCCGAAGATTCCGGTTCCAAGGACCTTCATAAGGGAGAGACTATCCCAAGTGACTTACTTGGGCCAATCAATATTGATGATTCGCCACCCGGCCCTAAATTTTCTAAAAGGCAATTTTGGGAGGCTCGATCCATAGAGACCCCTAATGTGGGAATGGCCCACGATGGGGAAGACATATTCGGTGGCTGCCTTGCGGGGGCCGATGATGTTTTAGACCTAGACGCGACAATCATTTTTGATGAGGCCCAGCATCTCCTGAACCAGGTAAATATCATCCCCCGTTATTATGTTTGCTTTTAATTCCTTCTATCTGATTTCTTTCTTTTCTCCATAGGCTGTGATGCTTCATCGAGAAGTGTTCACTAAATCCCAAGTCGAGTTGAACCGTTGTGAGGCCGATCTCAAAAGGCTTACTGAGGAGAGAGACACCCTTAAGTGCCTCTATGTGCAGAAAGAAGAGAAGATCAGTGACCTCCGAGCTGAATTGGCGACAGCCCATAAAAAGCAAACCGATCTCATCGAGCAGGTGATACAAACTTTGAGGAACTTGACATATCAACTTGATATTAGCCACTAACACTCAGATCCTGCAAGTTCAGCAAAAGGCCGAGAAAATCGAGTAGTTTCGTGAGGAGGCAGAGACAAAAGAGGCCGAGACTTTGAGGTAGAAGCAGAACATGGTCCGTCTCGCCTCGAAAAAAGATGCTGCTTGGGCCCAATTATCTTCGATTAAGCGCCAACTTCAAAGCATAAGGGAGGAGAGCTTGGCTCGAGCCAAGAAAATTGAAGAGCTCGAGACTCGGCTGGCTGATGAGCTTGCACAGGCTGCATCTATAGTGGAAAAGCAAAAGCCGACGCGGAGGCGGTTGTGGCTGTCTACCGAGCCAACGTTGAAGCCGCTAACGTTCGAGTGAAGGAAATTTGTGATGCCGCTCAGGTTCGGTTAGAGCATGCCAAATGTTAGTCTCGGAGGGAGACTCTCGAGGAGGTTTATGCCCGTGGCTTTGACCTTACGGTCGATATTAAGAATGCAAAAGCGCTAGAAACCGAGGCCGAAGCTTTGCTCTCCGATGATGATGACTCCAGGAGTGTGAGCAGATTCGAGAGCGGAGAAGATAGAGATGAAGCTTCGGGGGAAAATTAGGAACTTAGATTTTTTTGTTGAGATTTTGTGTAAGGCCCTTGTCGGTCTCTTTTACATGTTTTTGTCTATATAAAGAAATTTCTCTTTGAATGCCTTCTAAAATTTTGTCTTCGATCATGTTTCGTGCCTTGTAAAAGTTTAGAACATTTTTTCGCTTTAAATAATATGTTCGATACTTTGATTTTAAATGACTTGGTCGAAGTATAATACTGCTTTAATAGTCGGGCTCGAGTGAAAACTGAGCTTGGAATAAAAGTACCTTCAGGTTTGTTTTGAATGATAACGAACCTCGATCTGTAGTCGAGTAGTTTCTTATTCAAATTCGAGAGAGTGGGACCCTTAGGTTCGAATCGAGTAAGAACATGTTCTCGAACTCTAAGTGTATTGGCCCTTGGGTTCTTTGAATCGGGCCGATATGGCCTCTAAAGAATGGCTATTTTTCCCCTCTTTTGGCTCAAAGACTTAGTAAAATTTTCTTATGCCTTAGCATGTATTTTTTGTACCCATTGGTTTGTCGATCGAAACCCCTTTGTTTTTTGTGCCTTAGCACAAGTTTGTAGTTGAATAATTCGATACCTCTTAAGGTTTTTCGAGGGTTGATTTTATCGAAGTCCTTAGATTATTTTGCTGAGGATAGACTTTTTTAACCGGTTTTTAGTAAATTCGAAGGCCTATTTTTATTGCGGGATTCGAACGTCTCCGAGCCGCATTAATTTGGTTGTAGCCTTTGGGTATGCCTCTTGGGCTTATTCCCCAATAACACTTCGAACTTGTTCGAAATGTTAGTCCCTGAGACTGATGGCGCCTATAGGTCGAGGGGTGCCTCTTTGAGGTCTTATGAATTTGAGTTTGGATAACTTGAATATGTCGATCATCGACGATAGTCCCGAGTGTTCGAGGCGTATTTGCGCTTGGCCCTTGAGTCATTTCTCACAAAATCACAAGTATGGAGCTCGTTTAGTAGAAAATTTTCTTTGAGACACAAGATGTTTGATATAGAAAAAATGCTTCTTTGAATAATTTATACATGCGTACATGTTTTTCCATCGGGGCTCGACTAATCTATATGGACACGGTTCATTCGACCGTTTGGCCC